TGTTTAGTTTTTATAATTTTATTATTTTATATAGTTGTGAAAATATTTCACGTAATATTATTTTATATATATAAATATAACTCCTTTGTTCGTTATTAGGGGAGTTCAAAGTGATTATAAAGTTGTGAAATTGCAACAACATAAATAGTTTATAATATTATATAACTTATTGACGAAGACGTTATATAACTTATTGGAACGAAGCTAACGATAACGTAAATAATAATTTTGTCCAATTTTTGGATAAATTTTACCTTCATCTTTTTATTTCTTTTAATTCAATATTATTGTGCAGAATTTATTTTTAATATTATTCAATTTTTCGAAATTAGACATGATACATAAATGTCATGAATATTTAAAATTTCTCAAATTTTATATTTAAAATATAGATTATTTTCATTACTTGTAACATGTTTTGTAATTGTATGTTTTATAAAAAAAAAAATTTTCATATTAAACCTGTTGATTTCAATGTCTAAATAAAACTTCATTGGAATCATCTAATTTATCTTTGTCAATTATATATCATCAGCTTTCTAAAATTCCATAGGCAAAATGTTTATTAATGTTTCAAATTAAATTTTATAATGCAAAATTATATGTTTCGTAGACTATATAATTGTATTTACATATTTAAATGGCTTCTTTAAAAAGTATAAGCCTATTTATCGATATTTATACATATTATTTATAAGATTTCAACAATGATAAAAAAAAAAAAAATTATTTTCAATATTAATAATATAATAAGTATTTGTTGAAATAGCATAGATTTAAAGAACGTTAGATCTTGATAATTAAAAAGCCACATTTCTCAGTTTATAATAATCTTTTCATTATCTAAAGCAATGTTTAATGATATGATTCGCTTTGATCGGTACTCTTTTATCTTCATATTTTATTACGTTTCCTTCTATTGCACGTCCCATTGCTTCGTTTTTGCTGAACGAAGAAGTGAAAAAGTAAAGAATTTCCACAAAGTAGCAGCGACAAACTCGATTTATATACGGGCGGACATGGCTAACAAGCAAACAACTATTCCAGATTATTCATGGATGCCAGTAACGGAAAACAAGGTGTTGGATTTATGTTTGCCGCACAACGGATGCCGTCAACGATAGAATATAAAGACAAACGTTCGGACAATGTAAAAAAATACGTTAACGTATTTCCATATTCCTTTGTAAAATATATATAACTTTAATATATCGAGCAATTTTTATTTGAAATATCGATTTTCATGTGGCATTTCAGAATAGGATATATTTTTCTTTCAATTTTTGTAGTTCAAAAAATATTCAATGTCATCTTCAAGGTACAATATTAGTTGGAAACTAATTTCAAAATCTACACGGGAAAGCTAAATGTTTAGAGCTAAATAAGTTAGAACATGCACATAGTTTGAAAGAGTCTCAAATAATTTTGTTATTTATTATTACTTTCAAGGTTTCACTTGAAAAATAATTAAATTAGAATTAGTTTTATTGTTGACTTAAGTGTTAATTGTACCGTTAATTGTACTATTAAAAGTGCCTGAGATCTTAATTTTTTCCATTAAAGAATAATTCATAGGTAAATTTTGGTTTCAATTCTCATGTATTTATTATTAAGATGAAGATAATAATAATTATTATTATAGAATATATTTGAATTTTTTATTTTATTGTAATTTTCTAAAGTAATTTCTATAAAACACCGTATTAATTTTAAACTCAAATGTGTTATAAAACATAAATAACATCTTTTAAAAGCTTTCGTGAAATCTTTACACGGCAATTTAATCTTTTATAATGTATTTAAGCCGTCATCAACATTTATAAAATAAATGCTTTTTAATAATTATCAGCTGCAATAATTAATTTCAACCAATCGATTACATTTTTTAAGAATGTATTTTATAAAACGATAATACTTTATATATAATTTTTGTTTCATTAATTCTAACACCACTGTTTATGGAGTTTTTATTACGTCAAAAAACAAAACAAAAAAAAAAACAAAAAAACAAAAAAACAAAAAAACAAAAAAACAAAAAACAAAAAAAAAAATATATAAAAATAATATTTTTTGTACATTTTTTATAACATATAATATTATATTTAATTTCAAGATAAAATTATATTAAGAAATATGAAAATTTTTTCTTAACTATCCAATTTCTAATGTAGCAAAATTACTAATTTTCTAATAATTTAATTTAATTAAAAATTTATCAAAAGATTATTATAAATTTTTTGTCCATGAAATTTATATACGAAATTGTATAAATCAAAACCTTTATTATCGTAATGTATTCCTTATTTGTGCGTGTGTGTGCGCGCGCGCGCGCGCGTGTGTGTGTGGGAAGGGGAGGGGCGATTTTCGATCATAGCAACATTTCAAGAATTGATTATAAATCCATTTATAAAAAAGTTATGTTATTTATACGAATGAATTTCTTTTTACAAAATGGAATAAAATTAAATAATATGAAATTATCCATTATAAAATGATTCTATTTATTCTCTTATTTATAAACTAATATTATAATATATCTTCTAAATATTTTACTCATCCACTTTAACATCTAATTACATTGTTTATATTTATAATATTATAAAATTATCAAATTTTATTATTTATATATTTTGTAGATATAGATAGAGATTATAAATTCGTTTGTTCGTAATCGATTGAATTAAAAAACTTTCTAACTAATATTTATTGTAATATTCCGTCGACATAATTTGCTATAATACAATACTACGTATTTAAATTTATTAATATTTAATCTTTTACAATGTTTCTTCATTTATGAGCAACAAATCACATGATTATTTAATATAAAATTAATTCAATTCTATGTATGATTGTATTATTTAAAGGCTTGGATATTATGATTTCTATAATTTTCGTCTACGTGAAATTGTTACTTTAGGTCTGTAGATGTAAAAACATGTCATAAGTAAATGCAGAGAGAAAATTTAAATCTAAAGTAACTATATGAATAAATTTATTTATTCACTAATTAATAACAATAGCAATAATAATAATGGATCGTAATAATAAAACTTCATATATGTGAATACGATATATAAATATTCATAATATGTGATAGTATTTAGAAAGTTTGCTTGTAATAAAATCATAGTTAAAATAGAAAAAATGGATATTGCAAGATTACGGGCTTCGTGACTTTCATAGATGATTTTCATGTAACCATAAATCACTACGTATCATCAGAATTTATGGAATTAATTAAATTGCTCCCATTTACTTATCTCGAAGCTGGTTGTTTACAAAGCACCTCTCGCAATAACCAAATATTCTGATATATTATAAGCAATAAAAAGTTAATAATAATAACAGTGCAGCAAGCAATAGGAGATTGTGTAAAAGCAATGGCCGTTAAAATAATACCTAGATCGCCCATCATGTCAGCTGGGCGTCGGACGGCAAGGGTTAGTTTGGATTAGACATCAAAGGCGAAAACAATCTTAACTATTATATATGTAATGCAATTAATTTGTCTTAAAAATACTGATATGCAGCTGTTAAAAAGTTTCTTTATAATTTGAGCATACCTAGTCGTATAACATAAAACATATTTAGAGATTAGAGATTATAAATATTATCTGATTTGGAATCGATGGGTAATCAAGGCATTGAAATCAATGGCTATTCTATGACAAAATTGTTATTTTACGAAGATGATTGTCAATGTATTATTACGATATATTATGGCACATTTATCCGAGTGGATTATAAATTCTTTTTGCAGACTGGGTAAGTTGAAGATAATATTTCACAAACATTAAATAATCACAATGTGACGCCACTTTATTATTCCGTATTAATTGTAATGCATTTAGAATTTAAAGACACAGTATTATGGTTGAATTTTTCAATTCATCCAAAATTAGAATCCCGTAATCGATAAAAAAAAAAGTCGCTTAATAAAATATTTTTTTAACCGGACGGTTCAATTATTTTTAGTAAGGTAATTTTTATTTTAAATCGAGTGCACATAGTTATTTCTACCTTAACGTTGAATTGCAATTTCATTTCGAATCTTATTTAAATACCAGAGTATAATTACGGTCTCAATGTAAATTGATAAAATTTATTTACTAAAACTGAAGTAAAATTTTCACGTTTAAAATTATAATATAATTATATTACAGGGAATTTTGATCAAAGTAGAAAATTTTGCTACTTCATTACACTAATATTTCAAAATTTGTTCCTTAAACAATGAAAATGTCTAATTAATACTCAATTATTTTCCATGATTTTCAAATAATAAGTTAAATATTTGCTACTATTTTATATGCGCACTATACAAAATTTAAAATATTAGTTAAAATGGAACTGAGGATATTCCGCTGATTAAAGATTTATAAATTTTTTTACTAGTTGTGTTATATAGATTTTCAATTAATTGCCTTTTTAAAAGTTAATGCTCACAAACATCAATAAATTCTCTTCTTCATGAAATATCTTTATTTATTACAATATTCGTTATACTTTATATAATCATCCGAAAATTTATTCATTTGTAAAAATCGATAGAATATTGTTATCTAGAATTAAATTACCGTAAGAGATAGTTAATTGCTTTATTGTCTAAAATGTTATTCAGCTGTAGTGTTATATATATACTAATTTACCTACATTCGAGCATAGTCTAATTATGATTATAAATGATCATAATTATTTATAAGTTTGACACGATTATTCATGAGGTTTGTATGACATTGGAGAATTTTCGATATCACGAAATAACACAGTCGATGAATCACGAGCTTATATAAATTTCTATTATATTATGCATAATTTTCTTCAAGCCGAGATAATCGATACACGCGAGGCTCAAAATTTTGGCTTCGGTGATCGAAACCCAAGCATCTGCATCCTCAGTTTTGCATCAAAATTTTCTACAACGCTTGTAAGTTTTGCTAATGTTAATAAAGACTAATGTAATCAAAGATAACACATAGATACGAAGCTTCTCTCACCTAGAGCAAATTTAACACCTGTCCAAGCCTGCCGCATGTAGTTAATGAGCCTCCGGTAGAGTGGTTTTGGCGGTCTCTTGAGTTCCGCTTCCTCCTCGTCGGAGGTGGCCTCGTTCTCGGATGCGCCAGGAGGCGGGCCGATACCCGTGAGTGTGCCGACCTGGTTGCGCTCCCCTAAGATGTTGACGACCTCGCGCAGTCCGGGCCCGACACCCTGTAGCCCCGGTGGATACTGACTCGCCTGGAGCGCGGGGGCGACGCCGCCGGAACCGGGAAGGAGGTTCGCGCCACCGCCGCCCCCGCGACCTCGGCCGGCCCGACCTCTGGTGTTGCGGCCCCATGATCCGCCGCTACCTGTTCTCGTTGGTGTCGTTTGGTTTTTTTGTTTCATGAAGGAGAGAAAAGCCGGAATGCTTGGGTCATAAGAATTGCATCGAGCTACCACCCTAAGCTACGTGCCCTCCTCGGGCCTTCGGAATTTCAGTGAACTATGTGTGTTAGTACGTATATATACGGTTATTGTGTGCCAACTATTGTAGGTCAGACTAATATTTTCATTTACGTAAAGTGTCGTTATAATTCACATTTCGTCACGACTTATTGGCATATATTCTCTAAATATTTGTACTTGCAGTTCCTCAAAAATTCAATTGAAACGATCAAAGTTATAACGATGAAGTTTGCAAGTCATAAGTTGGAATCGTAATTAGCCGGATTATTTGTCAATCACTCTGCGTATCAAAATTTGCGAAAGTATATTGAACTATTAATTTTAAATGTGACTCGAATAAGTAAGTGAATAAGTAAATGTAAGTCAAATGTCAAAAATGGAAAGAAAAAAAATGATGATTGGATATTCATATAAAAGTGAGTATAGACTGTTTTTCAATATTAATTTTTTATTACTCTGGCTTAATTTTCTGAACATTGAACGTAATTTTTTTTTATTTTTTTATTTTTTTTATTTTCAAGACAAATAAATATATATATATATATATATATATATATAAGAGAAATGTTATTGTTTATAACGACTGCATAAATGATATAAATCGATTTTTTTTTCTTCTTTACAAAATAGTGTTTATAATTTTAGTTTGGTTGTACAATAACCATTTCACATTATAATTTGTAAATTGGGCTTAAATTTGATAAAATTGAACGTATACATATGCCTACGTATGCCTGCAACACATACTCTGCAACATATCTCATTATTATAATATGTAATATTCAAGTTGCAATTATTGATTTTATTAAAGTACTAACAAACTTAATCACTTAAATTCGGAATTCTACGTAAATTGATTTCTACGTAAAGGGAGAAATGAAAAACTAGTGAATGATCCAAGTATGAAGGAAAAGGCTCACAAGGCGACTTATCGAGGTTAGAAAAACAGGTATTCTTTAATAAATCTAGTAATGAATAGTGCACTAATGTTATTGTGCCCAAATAATAAAAAAAACTTGTCAAGAATTAGTATTTCAATCAGACATTTAAGACTAGTATTGATGCTTTGGAGTGTGTTGGGGACAAAAAAGATTTAAATAGCATTAATTACAATGGATAATGAATTTTTTTTTAGAACATCCACGAGTTTTACTTTTCCCGTTTGAACGAAAATGGGCCAATTTTACCGTTTGTCTTTTGAACAGGTTCGCTATGCCTTGGTCTCTTCACAATAGTTCGTCTAAAAGGGTTCTTATGCCCCTCGGCGTTGCTTGTATGCAACATGAACTTTAAAAATCAGTATATATATATATATATATTATTTAATATGCAATGATTCGAACATAAACTACATTATTAATAATACTAATTTGATATATTAATGATGTTCTAATGAAGTAATTAAAACTTGGACAGAATTAAAAGCAATTTTTTTGTTTTTTTGTTTTGATGACAAAACCAAGTCCATACAATGAAATTGAAATTGCGAGTTTCATTAAACTTTAGCATTTGAACACCATTATTGTTTTAACGAATAAATAACTTATTTTAATACTACAAAAGCTTTTTATGCTGTTATGTTTAGATTTCTAATAATATTTTCATAACTCATAAGCTCCAAATGTATTTCAAATAATTTATTCAATTATAATGAAAATAAGTTATTCCAATTTTTATATGGACAATAATAAAACCTAATGGTACTTGTATATTTACTTGTATTTGTAAATTTAAGAAAATCTTACGGCCATTTTTTTAAAATAAACTTTTAAAGAGGCATTCATTGGGAGTATATGTAGTTTGTTAAACATAATTTTTACGTGCTTTTTTGAGTTCTAGTGTGAAAATCATTAATTATACTTTGTGCTCTGAAGAGTTAAAATAGTCACAAAATTCAAAGAGTATAGTTATAAAAAAAAAAAAAAAAACAAGATAGAGATAAATGTTAAATTTACATAAAGATTTTTGCACAGTAAATGGTTAATTATTAATTATTATAACTAGATTATTAACAGAAAATAAACTGGGAATGATAGTATAGCTTTGTAATAATATTTTATCCGACTATAGCAGTCTATATATTAAATCTGTACATCTTACAGTTTCGCTTATTTTTTTTTTATTTTTATTTTTTTTTTATTATTATTATTATTATTATTATTATTATTATTATTATTATTATTTTATATAAAAAAATCATTATAATCAATAATAATAATAATATCAATTACTAAATAAAAAACGATTGTGCCAATTTTTAAGTAATTGATTATTAGAAAAAATAGCAATAGTAATAGGTTTCGAATGTAGCAATGAGCTTAAGTAAGAAAAGCATTTTGTAATATGTAATTAGTATGATGTTTTTATGGAGAGAATTAATAACAATGAATTAATAATATAAGCTTAATAAGAAGTACTTAAAAGTTTATCATGTTCTAGTTGTTAAAGTTATTTATTATTCCCACTTTACAAATTTATTTCTAATTGATGATATGTGCTTATTGCTCATTATAAGACAGTCTGAACTGGGACATTAATACATTAGGGACATGTTACTTAGTACTAAACAGCTGTGCTGCATTTTCCAATAATAAGGTGTACTAAACTAGAGTAGAATGATCATATGCACACTAAATTTTAAGAATTGAAAATATATTTTCTGTCCTATGATTATTAATAATTATGAATTATTCATTCGCGAGATTCACAAATCTTTCTTATGAAATAAAAATGAACTCTTGGGCATTTAATTTAATGCTGCTTATATAAAAATTATGAAAAGAATTTTTTAATTAATAAAAGAAAATTGTTTACTCCTTTATGAGTATTCTATTAAATTAAACTATATCGTTTTTATTGTAATGTTAACATTATCCAAGTGAACTATAAATTGAGTCAATCTTACCTTATCATTTTATTTATAAAATGCATTTCAGAATTATCAATAATATTACGTATTTAATGACGTATCTATTATATTACGCAGATCTTGGACGTAATTTCTCTAATATTTGTATCTTAATGAGAAATGTAAATAAGTGTACCAATAAAGTAGATTGATAAGGAAAATCATAGAAGGGTTATGATATAATTCATACTTTATGCTATTTGCTCATATCGCGTTCTTTGTTTCCATTCTTCATTGTATTTCGGCCATCTCTTATCAATCACATAGAATCGAATTAAAAATTAATTTTCTTCGGATAGTACAATGCTGAAATACAGCTGCTCCTATCTTAATAATATTAATTCTTAATTATACCTTAACTCCTTAACTCGCTTGACTTTGACGTGAACATGATACGAATCCGATCCCGAACCCGAACCCAAACCCTGCCCAGTGTTATAAGTATTTTTGGCATTGATTGTCGTGTTTGTCCCAGGGATTATAAAGTTTTGTTCGACCACTATAAGGAAGAATGTCCTACATAGCTACTACATTCGTTTCTTTTCACCGGTCAGTACGTATACACACACACACACACACGCACACACAGACAGAAACACAGACAGAAACACAAAACTTAATAATAATCAGAATATTATTAAGAAAAAATGTTTCTAAGCTTGGAAATGTTAAGTAAAAATGTTATGTAAAAAATGAACATTCAAGACAAAACAATACACAATTGCTTTCGTAATTATTTTAATATTTTGACTCATATTTCATAATTGAGTTTATGAAATATTTTATTGCATAATAACGTAGATAATATTTGCTATAATTTATAAAGAAAAAAATTTAATTTTACATTCGATCCTATACGACTGACGTATGATCGTCTCGGAAGCAAATGAAGATGAACGACGACAAAGAGTAGCCAGTGAGCAAAATAGTAAATAAAATAATTGAAATAAAGTTAGTCTATTATTTCAGCGTCGTTTTATGATTTTCTTTATCAATCCATTTTCCTGGTACATCTTACACTTCACGCTAAGATGCGTCTGTGAGTGTTGTATCTATAAACTGCGCAGCGTAATGGATTCTTTATTTTTATAAATAGCAATGGATATATATTGTGAATTTTAAGTTAATGGTTATATTCTTTTGTGAATTTTATTGTACGAATGCTCAAGAATATAATTTTAAATAAAAATAATATAACATTGTAATTGTAAATATTTCAACGTCTTCGTTTTACCGAAAAATAATACAATTTGCGAGGATATTAGATTAAAACATTAAGAGTTTATTTGAATAATATATTTGATAAAAATAAAATAATGAAAAATTTTTTATCCACTTCATTCATTCAATATTCATTATTCAATACCGTTTCATTCAATATATTTCACCTCACTAGATTATGGAAAATTTTTAATTATTCTTAAGATGAATTTATATAAAAATATATTAGTTCTCTTAAGTCGCTTTAATTTTGTTAAGCATGTAGCTGAGAATTCTCGATTTCCTAAAATTTAGTGTATATAAATCATAATAAACTATGATATAGAATAATCTAGATATTTTTCGCTAAGAGCTATAAAAATATAACGAATTTTTTACTTTTTTATGCGGGTGTATGTACAGAAAATTTAAATGCGAATACGTTATAAAGTATTTCTTCAAGTTGTAATCCAATTACTTTATTTTCTTCCATTAGTCTTTCAACTTACTTTTATGAAGTCTGAAAGTGGAGCCAGACGCCCCGGTACCACCTGCCCAAGACATCCCACTTTACGGTATCTTCACTTCTGCAGAAGTTACGAATTTTATAATCACTATATGGCATCACACATTATTATCAATATATTTCTCTACAGTTTTTAACATCGATTTTATAAATCATCTTTAAAATGTGCCCGATTACAATTATTTGTGCGCTAAAAATTCATCTTTACACGTATTATTTCATATTCCTATGTTGTCAGAATATTACATTCAATAAGCATGAAAGCAAATGGCAAATGGAATGTCCATATAAATATTTGCAACTGTTTACTTACTTCATTATATATTTACAGCTTGTAAATTATTCTACATTATGTAAAACAGCGTTGCATGTAAAATTTGCATTTGCAAAACTAAATTAACATTGGCATAAAAAGCTATTACGAATGCAAGAAAGTTAAAACGTTATTCAAAATGCTTTTAACGCAATTTATCTTCTGAAATGTTTAAAAGAAAAAGGAAAAAAAATATGTGCAATTAATTTCAACGCACAAATATTCTTATTAAAGTTTTATAGAATGATAAATTTCGATCTCAGATAAATCTAGATACATAAAAAGGTACATTAATGATTTAATTATTCAGAAGCACTATTCAACCCGCAATCTACGTCCCAATGAACATGTACTATACTTTTTTTTTATTCGAAGAATGACCTTAGGTAGCAGCATCCGCGGAAAGTGCACCAGCTCAGACTGTCCAAATATAGCTTCATTAAAAGAATAAATAATTCAAATAATAACCGAGAGTCACAGTCGCTCACCTAAGCTCTTTTTATAGGAGGGGAGGCCGACCACGGGGCCGTAGCCCCCCGCACTCCCCGCGACCGAGGAGCTGATGGTGAAGGACGCGAGGCGCAACTTCGTCCCTTAATAGATGATGCTCCGGGGTCAGGCGCTCCTGCGTCGAGGAATTAATATTTGGGCCCAGGGCCACTCCGACCTCCGCCAGAACAGGCGGACCGAGAGAATGCAGAATATTCCTTGCTTTACCTGGTCCTGCTATTTCTCTTGCTATTTTGTACTCCAGGGCTTTGAACAGAGAAGTCATAGATGTCAGAGGCTTGACGGCTGTCGATAATTGAGGAGTCGGTTGTTAGTGAAATTGGATAATGCGGAGAATGTTGGCTAGAATGAATAAGAGACCGGAACTTTTCAAGGTTAATTGGCTGTATTGTATGAAATATCAATAGCTCGGTAAATTGTCAGTAGTAGCATTCGTATTTAAAGATTTATGGAATCATATTCCTAGTCGTCTCTAATGATATTAAAATAGTAGATATTTTATTATGCAGAATTAGAGGAATTAGTTCACCACACTTTCAGTATATAAATAGCAATAATTCTCGTAATTCGGCATTTTGATCTCAATGCAACCTCTTATCTACCATTTGATAAATCATATTTAGAGAAATTAAATAGGCACGTGGATGCACAAGTTACTGTCAAATAAATATGTTTAATATCCTTTTTATGTATTTAAAAATTTCATAAATTTTAATCAAACTTTACTTCGTTGTTTAAATAAAATTCATATATTTATTAAGCTAATAGTGTTTAAATATTTTCTGAAACGTGTCATAGATCATTAAATGTTGCATTAATTCATTAAATTTTCAGATATATATATATATATATATATATATATAAATATAGGTTAATTAAATATAATCGTTTATTAAATTATGTAACTCCTTAATAATTAATAAAATTAACTTATTATAATTGTATAAACAGACTTATATAAATATTAATAAATGTAAATCGTTGATAAATATAATTAGTTTTATTAATAATATCATTTTATGGAAAAGATTAATATATACATACATACATATATATATATATATATATATATATATATATACACATAAATCATAATGTATTTGCATGTGAAATGAAAATCACATAAATATAAACAAAAGTATCATTATATTTGCTTCAAAAATATTAATTTCTTTCTAAATTGTAATATATTAATAGTAAAACTAAACTTAATAACATAGATAATATTAATATTATTGTCATATTAAATATTAATTTCTATTAAGGTATTAGACATACATTAAATATAAATGAAATTAGTTATGTTGCAGAAAAAATTTTATTATATTAATGATGGGTTTTCTTCTATAGTTTCTGTTTCCTTAAAGAATAGTTTTAAAATATATATTTAAAATATCTAGAGTATGCGTATTATAAAGTATATATTTAAAAAAGCTTAATAAAATTTTCTTCAGAATGAATAAATTTTTTTTAACGCAATATTATATTTATATTTCATATTTATTAATATTCGTAACTTAAGTATGTTTTTCAATGACTTTAAGCAAAAACTTTTCAAATTTATCCAATAATATTAACTTGTAATTTAGACATCGTTTATTTATTATAAATTAATTTTTTTATATTATAAATAAAAATGTTTTTCATAATCACAAATCATTACTGAAATACATTATGAATACACAAAATTATTCTTTTCTGATATTTATTTTATACATCTTGCCTAATTATATATTTCCCAATTAATAAATTACAACATAAATAAAAAATCAAGATTCTTTTGAATTTATATTCGTTGTTTAGATTGACAATTATTTTTCTACGTCATTTAAATATTAATTATAAGCAAATATAATGATACTTATTTGTATTTTATACAATCCAAATTGCATTCAATTTTACTATATACCTATTTTTTGTGTATGAATTAATGTTCATAATTGATAATCAATATCGATTTATACATATTTCCTTTATTATTCATACTCACCTTAAATGCTTATTTATATATTTTAAATTAATTCATCTTGTGGTAATGATGTGATATCCTTAATGAAGACATAGTACGTGTGTTAGCTCAATAAAATCTTTTTTGCTTTGTTAATGCGTTATTTAATGAATATCTGAAACAAGTAAGAGAGTCGAAGGTACATATTAGTTAGGGTTAATTCTACTTGAATTATAAATACTAAATTATTATTCAATTTCTTGATAATTATACGATTAATAGATTATAAAAGCTAAATAAGACTATTTTTGATTTGGCATAAAAAATTATTCTGTTTATTTAAGAAATGAAGAGAATTTTATTTACATTTAATGAAAAATTACAATTTTACGTGCAACTGCTATTATGACTTATATATCTTTATAATGACTTAACAATATATACGTTATATAGAAAATACATTTAAAATAATAAAATTAAAATATAAACAGCAACAAAATTAATTGAACTCCATTATTAGTATGAATTAATTCATGCCTTTATGGTTGAGCATCAGAGTATGCTGTTCGAAATTAATTCAAATTTTGTTTGCGTATTATGTTTACTTTGTTCGTGTTTACCTATACATGTGAAGAATAGAACGTATATTGAAATATTAAGTATATATAGCTTTTACAGACGAACGATGTAATTGCTAAATAGCTTTTTACATAAAGATGAATATCACTTTTATATAAAAGCTATTAAATAAATAAAAGATATATTAATATAATACTAATTTAAACATTGATTTTGAAAAACTTATTGATAACGTTAAACTTTAATAATCGATGTTTGAATTGTACTTTTTAAATATTCAAAGATTCGTTAGAAATATATTTGAATTTTTCAGGAAAATCGAGAAGTGCGCAGATTTATGTTTACTTTATAATAATATAAAATATAATTGAAATATTTATATAATTTACATAATGAAAATATAAGACGTCAAACGTTAGACCAAATATTATAAAGAAAACTTGAAACTACTTTTCGTATAATTTCAAATGTAAGTTTCTTGTTTTTCATAATTATATCACAGCAGCAAAATCTTAAAGTTTACTGTTCGATGTGCAATCTTTTTCAACGTCGTTTGCATAACTTACTTTTGTATAAAATGATGTAATAAAAGGTATTATACTTTTTATGTGAAACTTTTAAAAATACTTTTATATGTGCTTCAGCTTTGAGTAAATATAAGAAGTATTTATATTACTTTTGAAATGTATATTTTCTTTTATAATTTTGTTTCACATTTTTTTAAACTCACGTAAGGATGTATGAAATATTATTAAAAAAAAAATATATATATATATATATATATGTAAAATAACTATAAATTTTTTCATATAAAGTCCCTTATGAATATAAGGGACCGATAAAACAACAAATCGCGAATAAGAGTAAATTATAATTTTTAATTTACAATTGCTCAGTGTAAGAATACACAATAGAAATTCATAAATTTCATTAGTATATAAAGAAATGCACATTCATATTCATCCCTATTAAAATATAAATTCACTATCTTAATAAAAGAATTTTTTATAACATATAAATATATATGTATATATGTATATATGTATATAAGTGTATATTTGTGTGAAATATACGTATTAAGATGGACGTGTGCGTAATAAAAATATAGTGTAAAATTTCTACTGCAGAATATTTTCTCTTCAAATTATTCAAAATAAAATTTTTAATGTTTAGAATCATTTTATACCGTACATATTAATAATATTAATTGAATTTTCATTCAGTTTTTCGTATTTGTAAAATTTTTCAATTTTTTAGAACCGCATCATTTTTATAATTATATTTATGCTATAATAATGTTAATTATTACTAACAAATCGGAGATGAAACTATGTCAATAATAAATTCTCAATATTTATTTTGAGGTTTATTTATTGGACATAAATTATTTGAAATTCTGCATAGTACTCACATATTCATACATAAGAATATTACTAAATTAGTATTTATACTTAATAACTATTTATTATTCGGAAATAATCATGATGAAGTTGATTTTTCCAAAATCTTTATGAATTTATTTATCGTAATTTTATGAGTGTAAATATAAATGTAAATACTTGGTTAGAGGTATTTTGCAAGAAGGATAAATAATTTGTAATTATATTTATTATATTGTAAAAAATAATTCTGAATAACAATTTCAGAATGAATACAATTTATATTTATTATATATATATATATATATATATATATATATATATATATATATATATATATATATATTATTCTCTTTTAAAAAAT